AGGTTATGCGACCGGGTTATTCAGGTCAATGGTTAGGTTAGGTTTTTCGAACGTTCGGATGTTGTTAGGGTGGAAGAAGTCATTGATACTGTTTGTGGTTTTTCGAATGTTCGGATGTTGTTGGGGTTGACGAAGTTTATTTCAACATTCCAAAACACCGTACTTAAAAAATAAATCACCCCTTTGACCAATCATATGTCAGCTCTTTCCATAGATCAGAGGGACAGGAAAGGTCATCTCGGGTCATGGAAGTTAGACACCTCTACTTGACCTCACATAACCAAGGTCTTTAATAACAATACAAAAAAATAATATCTACTTTTTTACTTTTTTAAATAATATATATTTTTAATGCCACGTTCTCCTGGTGACCCTGGCGAGCTTTCAGTACACTTGTGAAAGGTATGACCAAAAAAAGAAAGAAAAATAAGGTTAAACCAGTTCCATACTTGTTCAGGGCGTGATGATCCACCTGAAAGTCAGGTACTGGTTAAATTGAGTGTGGCAAACATCCCTCATGCAGTAAAATCATCCACCAGTGAGGTCAAGAAAAGCAGGTGTTATTTTTTATGTTGGTATACAATTTGTAGTGAAATACAGTAATAAAGTCTCGCTGTGACTGACTTACCCACAGGTCAGGTGAATTAACATTTATTGGTCTTAAAGGAAAAGAATAACACCAAGATATATTGTATAAACGAGAAAATAAGAGAAAAATGTGATAGAAAAAGAGAATAATACGAACATGTGAAAAAAATCAGGAAATAAGGGAAGAAATATACAAAAGAAAAAAACAAGAAAATGTAAATGAAGAATTAGAATAAAAAAGAAAATGTAGATAAATATACAAAGAGAGACTTGAACGATAAATGCAGAAAAAAAGAGGAATTGAAGGAATAATGAAGGAAATGGGAGTAAGAGTAATGTAAGTAAAGAAGAACTCTAGTGAACGAGTCGTGACTTGCGAGGGCTGGACCTGATCAGCTGTGTGTGTGACGTCACCGTGTTTACATTAAGACGGGGAGGTGTGTGGAGGAGGGGAGGGTGTAGGCAACCTGTTTTTTGTGCTTAATGTAAGATTCTTCTGACCGATTACCTGCTCTCTCTCTCTCTCTCTCTCTCTCTCTCTCTCTCTCTTACGCAGATATAGTGTTATATAGAGAAGAATAAACACAAAAAAGAAAGAGAGGGAGAGAAGTATAAAGAAAAAGAGAGAGACAGAAGCATCAAGCACACTCGTATCATAAGTCTCGAGACAACGATTGCACTGTCTTGACCCGTCCTTGTGAGGTGTCCAGACGGCGGAAATCTTAATAAAGAGACTCTGCTTTTACGAACTAATGACCGATAATTTAATCAAAGAGAAAAATCTGTAATACGGTGGTGGCCTTATTTGGAGGTCAGACTCTCAAGTCTAGTTGCTCTAGACGAGTCTAGAGTCACTGTGTAATTACCGCACCATTTTTGGTATCTTAACGTCGTAATCTAATTAGGGTGTTTTACGTGTGTGTTGTGACGTGTTAGTTAAGGGGAAGATTTACCTAAGAACCCTTTGAGATTTGTTTTTTTTGTATTGAAGTCTATTTTAAGATTTCCACAGGTGAGCACGTCCTTACAGGTGAGGACGTCCCCACAGGTGAGCACGTCCCCACAGGTGAGCACGTCCTTACAGGTGAGCACGTCTCCACAGGTGACCACGTCCCCACAGTTGAGCACGTCTCCACAGGTGAGCACGCCTCCACAGGTGAGCACGCCTCCACAGGTGAGCACGCCTCCACACGTGAGCACGTCTCCACAGGTGAGCACGTCTCCACAGGTGAGCACGTCTCCCAGGTGAACACGTCAGCCAGGTGGTTCCCCTTGACACTGACAACCTTGAGAGAGTCAGAGAGCGTAAGGTGGGGCCATTTTCTGCCAGGGTGGCGGGCCAGGAATTTCCTTTGTCTGTGGGTGGAGGGCCATTTCGTTTTCAGTGGGTGGGTTTGGGTTAATTTCCGTTTTCAGTGGGTGGGTGGGGCCATTTCCGTTTTCAGTGGGTGGTGGGGCCATTTCCGCTTTCAGTTGGTGGTGGGTGACATTTCCTTCCTAGTGTGTGGATGGGGCCATTTCCGTTTTCAGTGGGTGGGTTTGGGTTAATTTCCGCTCTCAGTGGGTGGGTGGCATTTCCTTCCTAGTGGGTGGTGGGTGGCATTTCCCTTCCTAGTGGGTGGGTGGGGCCATTTCCTTTCAGTGGGTGGGTGGCATTTCCTTTCCTAGTGGGGTGGGTGGGTGGCATTTCCTTCCTAGTGAGTGGTGGGCCATTTCCGTTTTCAGTGGGTGGGTGGTGGGTGTGTGGTATTTCCTTTCCTAGTGAGTGAGTGGGACATTATCGTTTCTCAAAAGGCGAGAGAGGACTTTTCCATTTCCTTCCCAGTGGGTGGAAGGATCTCACTTTCCCAAATGAGTATTACAGTAAGTGTGTGGGGGAGACCTACCAAGTGCAGGATAAAGTGACCTATTCTTGTTTACTTGATATTTCCTGGGCGTCAGTGGGACCTCTAGGACCTTGGAACAGGGAAACAGGAGGGGAGAGAGTGAAAGGAAAGAAGGAAAAAAGAAGAAGGAGCAGGAAGAGGATGGAGAACGTGACCTTAGAATGTTGGTAAGAGTGGATGAGAGAGAGAGAGAGAGAGAGCGGAGACGGGGAGAATACACATGGCTCACAAGGGAGTGAGAGACAGACAGAAATAAACAAAAAATAGACGGTAATAAAGACAGACAGGCAGACAGAAAACACAGACAGGACCAAAAAACAGACAGACCGGAAGATGAGAAGGTCCCCCGATCACCGGTTGACCTCTGCTACTATATAAATGATGCCAGTCGATCACAAAACATAGAACTACTTACTACTTACTCACCTTGTAGGGGTGGAAGTGTGTGTTTAGAGGTGTGGGGGGAAGTGTGTGTTTAGAGGTGTGGGGAAAGTGTGTGTTTAGAGTGTGGGGGGCGAATGTGTGAGAGGTGGGGGAGTGTGGTTTAGAGGGGGGGGAGAAGGAAGGTGGGGAAGGAGGTGTAGGGGAGAAGGAGGTTGGTGTGGGGGACGATGAGGTCTGTGTGAAGGGGGGGGGTGGGTATGGTGGGAGGTGTGTTTGTGTGGGAGGCGAGCAGGTGTGCGTGTGTGGGGGGTGGATGTGTGTGCGTGTGGCGAGTAGGTGTGCGTGTGTAGGGGTGGATGTGTGTGCGTGTGGCGAGTAGATGTGTGTGTGTAAAGAACTATGACCACACACAAACAAACAAACACCAATGAAATACTTAATTAAAAAGTCCCACTAATAACAACAAACAGTGAATGAACACACAGAAAGTTCTCCGGTATTACTAGATCTAACACAGGACATTGACTTACACGGCAGTTCAGTAGAGATTAAACACACACACACACACAGTGACGATCATTTCAACAGCGATTAGTTAATTTGGGGTTTATAAAGAGATCGATAGGGAAAAAAGAGGGAAAAAAGGTCAAATATAATATCCAATAAACTTTTAAACTGTCTCTACTAATTAGCCCCTTTACTACTGGACTCAACTTGGATTCAACTTTTTATTTATTTTGTTTTATTTCAGCTCAGAGAGAGACTCCTTGTACACAGGTATGTTCGATTATACCATAACTAACTCGATTATATTTCTCCAGGTATGTTAAATTAGCATACCAGTGTGTTCCGCCTTACCTCACGTACGCACAGCCAGGTGAAGGCGGCCACTTACCTGTTGAGTTTAATTATTTTTTGTGGGTGAGTTAAGGTAATTTGTGTGGTGGGGTTTGTAGGAGAGATATAAGAGAGAGAGAGAGAGAGAGAGAGAGAGAGAGAGAGAGAGAGAGAGAGAGAGAGAGAGAGAGAGAGAGAGAGAGAGAGAGCACACAACATCAAACAACCGGTTCGACTACTCTTGTTCACTTTCCTTTCGTAAACTTAAAAAAAATGGTCAAAAACTTGTTGCTATAAATAAATTTAGTGCATCAAGCTAATGAAGTGTGTGTGTGTGTGTGTGTGTACAGTGTGTGAAGGTGTGTGTGTATGTTTGTGTGTAAGTATGTGTGTGTGTGTGTGTACGTGTTTGTGTCAGTATGTATTTGCATAGTGTATGCACGTGTTCGTGTGTGTGTGTGTGAGCAATTTCTCACGCACACACACCTAAGTTAATTAAGATATCAGGTGAGGGGAAAATGTTTCACGGGTTCACGTATTTAATGTTAATAAAGATCCTACGTGAAAATAGGTACCTCACTCAGTAGGTCAGGATGACGTGTTAGGATAGTCTCAGGGCTATTTGGGCCCCCATTTTGGCTTGTCATGTTTGTGGTTGGGATTGTGTTAATGAGGCAGCGATGTTATTTTTTTTCTATCGTTTTAATTTCAAATCATAGGGAAATTTTACACACACACACACACACACACACACACACACACACACACACAAACACACACCACAAACGTTTGTCTTCAAGTTACGTAGAGTCACCTCAAGCACTTAACTGATTAAGACTAGAATTGCCGTCCGAAAAAAACAGGCATTGGATAGTGTAGATTATTAGCTCTAGTTTGTAAACACAGGAGATAATCGCTCAGACGGTCAGCCAGTACAAACAGGAAGGAAACATTATTGTCTCAAGGTTGTATTTAGGAATAACCAAAACATAGAAATTAATGAGTGAATAATCCTCTATAAACACAAACAGGAACCATATTTACTGTTGATTGATGGGTAAGCTAAACACTGGCCAAACACAGCAAACAACGAGTCAAAGGGTAAACACTCAACACGTATTTAAGATGTCATTAACGTTTGACTGAAAAAATATAAACACTAACCAAACACCCCCATACAAAACATTGACAGTAAACATACACCCAAAACATGCCTTAAAACACCTCGAATATCAGTTCAGCAAATATTAACACACACACACACGCCAAACACACCTCCCTCCCAAAAACACTGAGTAAACATACCCAAGGGGTCTTCATGTTCGTGAGCCGACAGCAGCGAGGAAGGTGGGGGTGGTCGAGTGACTGTAGCGCACAACCTAACCACAACAGCCTTCTTCCACACTCGTCTACAACACTAGTGACGGCACTTACTGGACACGAGGGCCAAGATTGCTGGTGGTGGTGGTGGTAGTGGTGCCGCCCTGACCGAGTTACCCGTTTCTGAAATGTCGCGGGGCAGTGGCCGTGGAAGATGTGGTGGTGGTGGTGGTGCTGGGCAGGAGGAGGAGGAGGTGGTGGTTATGAAACAAGCGGGCGGTGGGTTTTTAGGGAAGCTTGGGGGCACTGGGGAGATGAGATGAAGGATGAGGAGTAGTTACAGAAGGAGGGGGTAGTTAAGGGGTAGTTAGATGAGAGGAGGTGAAGGATGAATAGGGGTGTAGGAAAAAGAAAAGGAGTACTCGTAGTTACAGAAGATGGGGGAGTAGTTGAGGGTAGTTAGAGGAGAGGAGGGGTAGTTAGTGCAAGTCTGACAGGCCCTCGGAGTACACGACGACGTCTCCCTGTGGGTCGCTCTGGAGAAGACAGGTTAGGTTCCTACACCAGGGGGAAAGAACGGAATGGGTGGATTGGATGGAACAGAGACCTTCAGGGATACGGTGGAAAAGGGACACTGGAACAGGATCAAACATAAAATAAATTAACGTCAAGACTATAACATTAGTTGGGGAAGGGAGGGTAAATTAACCTCCGTGTGGAATAGTTAAAATGGAACAGAAGAAGATAGCAATATATCATATCTCCAGTTGTTACTTTGAGAGAGAAGTGGAATGGTTAGATGATCAACGGAATAGATCTCAGATTATATCACGTATACCTATGAACAGGACATAAGGAATAATTATAATAATATCAGTAATAATAATTTTTCAGGCTATAATATAATGAGGATGGAAAGGGAGATCTTACGGAGCGTGGAACAGAATGAACTTGAAAGAAAATTTACGAAACAGTTCACAAATTATAATAAATAACTTGGAACAGAACAGGGATGATAATGACGACGATAAGGATGATGGTGGTGATGATGATGATGATGATTTTCAGACTGAACTCGAATGAGGAAGGGATGGGAGGCCTTAGATAGTGTGGGGCAGAGAAGGAAAGGTGATTAGCTTATCAACTCTGTGGACCCGGGAGAGTAATGATTTATATTACAACAAGAAAGAGAAGAGTAACAATAATAATAATAATAATAATAATAATAATAATAATAATAATAATAATAATAATAATAATAATAATAACAGTACTACCGCCTGGGAAGATATTGGAAGCATAATGTGTTGTCTAATGGTAGACCCTGCTGCCATATGTGACCAAGTCCCAGGTTGCTGATCTGACTTTCTGCCTCATTTACTCACAATTGCAGGGTCTCAATTGTTTCTCTTACTTTGACAACACAACATACATATATTGTTTTTCACTCTTGATCTTTTTTTCGTTTTGTATTTCTTTATGGTTTATTATTATTATTATTATTATTATTATTATTATTATTATTATTATTAAATTTTCGCCCCCAGGCCCCGATGTGGGTCGGTGACCTGTGCCCGAGTGGGCTAATCCCCGTAAAAAAAATCAATAATAATAATAACAACAATAACAACAATAACAATAACGATAATATTAATAGTAGCATTAATAATAATAATATTATTATTATTAATATTCGTAACCTCCGTGTGGAAAGAGAATGTAAAGATTTGTTATTGACCAAACTAGAAAAGGAAAGAATGACAATAAACAGTTAAACGAATGATGTCACATGCGTGGCTTCAGTAACCTCTAACACACACACACACACGTCAGGTCCCTCATAACACCATCTGTGAGGGAACTACTACACCACGTCAGGTCACTCATAACACCACCTGTGAGGGAACTACTACACCACTTGATGCCCCTCATAACACCACCTGTGAGGGAACTAGTACTCCACGTGATGCCCCTCATAACACCACCTGTGAGGGAACTAGTACTCCACGTGATGCCCCTCATAACACCATCTGTGAGGGAACTAGTACTCCACGTGATGCCCCTCATAACACCATCTGTGAGGGAACTACTACACCACGTCAGGTCACTCATAACACCACCTGTGAGGGAACTACTACACCACTTGATGCCCCTCATAACACCACCTGTGAGGGAACTAGTACTCCACGTGATGCCCCTCATAACACCACCTGTGAGGGAACTAGTACTCCACGTGATGCCCCTCATAACACCATCTGTGAGGGAACTAGTACTCCACGTGATGCCCCTCATAACACCATCTGTGAGGGAGTTACTACACCGCGTGTCTGCTGTTCAGCACCTCAGCACACGTGACCTAAGTGACCTCCACTGTAAACATTAATCTGTATGTTCACTGTATGTTCCTTCACCTTTCTCTAATGAAGGCTTTTGTTAAACCACCAATGTATCTAATAAATCATTTATGCCCAATGTATATTTTCAGCCTTCGGACTGCAGAACCTTTTCAATAAACCGTTAATTATTATTATCATTATTACACACACACACACACACACACACACACACACACACACACACACACACACACACACACACACATGATTTACTGCATGCCAAGTGTTTTTTTCCCCAGTATATTTAGAGCCGTCGTTAAATACCTCTTTGTTTGTTTGTTTTTTCCAGCATGTGTAGTCGTATAGCTGTTGTAACACCTTTCTGGAGTAACGGTAGTTGAGGCTAAAGGCAGTTGAGGCTTGGTAAAAAGATGTTTTATATTGCATCTCTCTCACTCACTATCTTTCTCACTGTCTCTCTATTTTCCTCTCTGTCATCGCTTCTGTTTTTTTTTACTTTTTCTCCCCAATTAGTGTGTATTTAAGTAATCTTCGTCTGGCTCTGGTGGCCTTTCACCTGGGCGATGGTATACGCCTGGCGAACACGACACACCAACTCTGTCTATACTACATTTACCTCCTAATCTTCCAATCGTCAGTTTTTTGTCGACTATTCCTAATCTAACCTAATCTAACCTAATCATTTGCACTGGTGGCTCAATCATCTAATATACTATAGGACTAGGCATGTGTGTGTGTGTGTGTGTTCTGGGCAGCCGAAACGGCACAATCTTTTTTCATCAAACTTGGTGGAAAAATCGCAAAAAAAATTCGTGGAGTGGAACAAACCTGGTCCCATATCGATGGTTTCTTTAGGAAGGCATTAGTTTAAAAAAAAAATTACGATGGAAAACTATGCAAGACTACGGACTTGGCACACCCTCATTCGCTGTATGCTGTCACGAGCGTTCACACACACACACACACACACACACACACACACACACACACACACACACACACACACACACACACACACACACACACACACACACACACACACCTGAATATGCAATTTACCTGCCCAGGTGATTGACCCCCCCAAAACAAAACACATTTACACTAAGGTGTGTGGGTGTAGAAGTGTGTAGGTGGATGTTGGTGTGTGTAGGTGGATGTTGGTGTGTGTAGGTGGATGTTGGTGTGTGTAGGTGTGTGTAGGTGTGTGTAGGTGGATGTAGGTGGATGTTGGTGTGTGTAGGTGGATGTAGGTGGATGTTGGTGTGTGTAGGTGGATGTAGCTGTGTGTAGGTGTGTGTGTTGTGTCGGTGGATGTATGTGTGTGGGTGGATGTGGGTGTGTGTGGGTGGATGTGGTGGATGTTGGTGTGTGTGGGGTGTGTGGCTGTGTGGGTGGATGTGGGTGTGTGGGTGGATGTGGGTGTGTGTGGTGGATGTGGCGTGTCGGTGGATGTGGGTGTGTGTGGGTGGATGTGGGTGTGTGGGTGGATGTGGTGATGTAGGTGGATGTAGGTGTGTGTAGGTGTGTATGGTGTGTGGATGTGGGTGGTGTGTGTAGGGATATGGTGTGTGTGTGGGTGGATGTGGGTGTGTGTGGGTGGGATGTGGTGTGTGTGGGTGGATGTGGGTGTAGTGTGTGGTATGGGGTGGACAGGTGTGTGTGGGTGGAGGGATGTGTGTGTGGGTGGATGTGGGGTGTGCAGGTGTGATGGTGTGTAGGTGGATGTGGGTGTGATGTGGGTGGATGTGTGTGATTTGTGTGTGGATGTAGGCTGTGTGTGGGTGGTGTGTGTGTCGGTGGATGTGTGTGTGGGTGGATGTGGTGTGTGGTGGATGTAGGTGGATGTTGGGTGTGTAGGTGATGTAGTGTGTGGGTGGATGTGGTGTGTGTCGGTGTGTGTGTAGGTGGGATATGTGTGTGTGTAGGTGGGAGGTGATGTAGGTGGTGGATAGGTGTGTAGGTGATGTGTGTGTGGGTGATGTGGTGTGTAGGTGATGTGTGTGTGGTGGGTGGTGGGGTGGGAATAGTGTTGTGTGTGGTGATGTAGGTGTGTGTAGGTGTGTGTAGGTGTGTGTAGGTGGATGTAGGTTTTGTGGTGCTGGGGTGTGTGTGGATAGTAGAGGATGTAGGTGTATGTAGGTGTGTAGGTGGATGTGGGTGTGTGTGGCGATGTCGGTGTGTGTGGGAGGATGTAGGGTGTGTAGGTGGATGTGGGTGTGTGGGTGTGTGTAGGCGGATGTGGTGTGTGTGGCGATGTAGGTGTGTGTGGGCGGATGTGGGGTGTAGCGGATGTGTGTGTGTGAGGATGTAGGTGTGTGTAGGCGGATGTGGTGTGTGTAGGTGGATGTGGGTGTGTGTGTAGGTGTGTGTAGGCGGATGTAGGTGTGTGTGTAGATGTAGGTGTGTAGGCGGATGTAGGTGTGTGTAGGAGGATGGTGTGTGTAGCGGATGTGGGTGTGTGTGGGAGGTGTGGTGTGGGTGTGTGTAGGCGGATGTAGGTGTGTGTAGGAGGATGTAGGTGTGTGTAGGCGGATGTAGGTGTGTGTAGGCGGATGTAGGTGTGTGTAGGCGGATGTACTGTACGTGTGTGTAGGCGGGAGACGTGGCAACATGTCTCTCCCATAGTGACAGCCTCTTCAACCAAACTGATATTCTTTCCTCATAAAATTCCTTCTTATCTCTTGTTGCCGCTGTTAATTTAGGTTGCCACTTTCTTTCTTGACTGAAACTTGTATACGTCGCATACCTGGCGTGGTATG